CAACTGAATCTCAAATACTCAAGGTTTCCACCACTCTAGCTCTCTTCTTTACCAAGCCTAAATTAGTCACTGCATTTCCCCCCAGCTAACTCGAGCCAGCAGTCAACAGACAGGGCGTAAGCATTTCTGTTTTGATTATTGTTTTCACAAACTGGCACCATAGGTTTCAATATTTCAGTGATGCCAAACAAGCATAGCTAGGTGATGCTTTCCCCACATCCTTCTGGGCAATTAATCAATTGTCAAGCAAAGATGTGTGCACTTTGGACAACCTCTGTGGTCTCCAATGTTGTTACCTATAATGTGGAAGGGTGGCAGACAGTCTGAGTTTCTGCCTCCCATCTTTAAAAGTGTTTATCCTCATTTTTGGTGGCACATACGGTTTGCCCTGTTGTAAACCAAAAGGTGAGGGCATGTACCTGGAAGGTGAGCTTGAGAGTCACAATAACAATAGTGGGGAGATGTCGTAAAGGCAGGCACCAGCGCCTAAAATATGAGTAAAGTCGGAGCCCAGAATGTGGAGGAATTTCAGATGATGAAAGGTGGAAAGGAGAAGCAGGTGGAGAAGAGGGCAAATGAAAAGCTGGGACGGGAGAACATCAGCCCACGGGGGCCAGCCAGCAACTGTCCAGGGAAGGGGAGAAAACCAAGTGGAATAAAGCTGATGGCTTGAGAATGCACAAAAATCATTGTGGAATAGGAAATCTGATTCCAAGTTTGAGAAGTTGTTAGTGCTTGACAAGTATATGTGTACTGTTAGTAATTATGCTCAAGAATAACATAAAAGTATATTTTCTTTCAACTCATGTTCTTTTTTTTCAAGTAGCTACTAAGTTATGAGGAAATAAAAACATCAATTCGTTTGAGGCAACCCCTTAATAAATGAGCCATTAGGTTTTAAAGAACAGATTAGGACTTCAGAACTTGAGAATAAAAACCAGGGCTGAAGGGTCCTGAAGTGGCCGTAACTCGGTTTCTGTAAAACAACTCCAGCTGGAGAGAGCAGAGAAATACCTCTTGGGCTTGACTTTTGCTCGAAAAAGATGGCAGCTAGTTGAAGGCACGAAGGAGCGCAAGTCAAACGGAGCAAGAACAAAGCAAGAAGGACTTGCTTCCTCCGTGCTGGGGGTCTGAAGCGACGCTCTAGTTTGGACTCTGCAAAAGTAAGGTGCAGCCTGGAGCGAGTATCAGTGAGGCTCAACTGCTGGATGGAGACCACACAACAGAGATCAAAAAAGGATGACCGTGTGCTGTCAAGGCCTGATGGGGGCATGTGGCCAGTAGGAAGGCCAGCTCAAGTTATCTAGATCACCACTAAGCACCTGGCCCCAAGAACCGAATGATGACCCTCGACCTTGATGGTCAGCACTCTCCCTGTCACTCTCAGATCCGGTCCCTCATGCACCGACTTCACTCTCAGGAAGACCCTCTCTTCACAGTGGCCTCTCACTGCGCTCCCAGGAAAAAGGGGCCTCCCCTCCTCATTGTCTCAAAGGAAGAGCTGGGAATGAGGCTCAGTGGACCAACCTGACTCTAGCGCCACCCCTCAGCCAGTCATGATGGGACGGAAAGGGTTCATCAGCCCAGGCAATCATACTCAGCCCTGGAGCTGGGGGCAGGAGGGAGTCGGGGTGAGAGGGACTTGGAAAGATGTCCATCATTCTCAGATGGAATAAGAGTGGCAAAATGTAGTTCCCTAAAGGACAAGCACGGAGCTGTTAACAGAAGGGAAACTTGGGTGCTGTGCAGACAGAAGCAAGAACCGTCCACTGACCCGGTGTGTACCCATAACCAGCCTTACTTGCATGTAGCAGATGCCCATAAATTTCTATCAAGAGAAATAACTTGACGTAGTCGCTGACTAAACCCTCATTGTATGGCTGATCCATTAAGAAGTTTCTAAGAGAAGCAAGAGGAAAGGTGAGCATACCATTAAGTTGCTAGCATAGTTCTTGGCATGCAGAAAGAATTTAAATGTTTATTGAATGAATAAATGGATGAAGATATTTATAATCTAAGTGGATACAATGACCCCAAACACAGGAGCTATGTAGGCATTCAGTTTCAGGCAGATTTCAAAATATTTAGTAACCAGTATGGTAATTCCATCAGCCAATCGGAACAAATGTTGGTATGGCGGTGCCTCTGTATGTGCCAGCAGAATATCAGCCCTGACTTAAATGATGTGTGAAAGTGCTTTGAACTATCAGTAGGTGAGAAAACAATGTATTTTAATGGTCCCAGAATCTCTATCCACAAAACTCAGAGATGCAACAACTGCATAACTTTAGTTTTTTGAACTGGATTTAATTTTGTTTCTTGAACCCCATTTCTGTTAAAGTTAATGGGAGAAGCAATCACTTCAGAGTAAACCTAGTCAGGATTTTCTTGATTGAATCAGAGTCTCCCTCACTGCCCACATACCTGAGGACAGGTGTGAGTTCTAGAGTGCTAACATGCCACACCTTTAAGGGGCCAGATCCTCGGTTGTCATCATCTACCTGTTCTGCCATCTGCCAAGATGCTCCCTCTTCCAACAGGCCCCTGGTCTTGTCATTTCCCAACATGGGCCTTGGCTGAGAGGATCACATGCTTCTTGTGTTTTCTGTTAAAGGGTCGCTAAAGGTCATGCTTCAGCCTTCCTCTGCAGGTTTACTGACCCTCTCTCAGTTATCTTCTTGCCTGTCTTCAATAAGGAGAGACGGCAAATTTTTGGATACTCCACACTGGGTATGGAGGCAGCTTGGTATGACTGTCGCAGAACTTCCCCAGATAGATGGGACAGACTGCTGGCCAAAATCAGCTTTTTTTTACCTTACTGCTGCTCTGTACCACCAGCACAAGAAAGCTTTACCACCAAATCAGGCTCCCCCAAGCTGGAGGAGAGTTGTCCTCTACAATCCCCTGACCAACCTAGGGGCTCTTTCATTTCCTGCCTCCCCCTGGTATCTTCTCCCCTGCTCATCCCATGTGCTCTGGATGACTCCTATGGAGTGCAAAAACCTATTTGCCTCTGATCATTCATTCTCCTAATTATGTTGTTTATGGCACAAACTCAATGCCCTACATCTTTCAAGCCTTGTTTTTTAAGACTCAAAATTTTCCTTGTATCTTATCTCTGCTATGAGACTCAAAGTCTATTTTGAAATCCAAAAGCTGAGTGTGGCTTTATTTGTTCTTTCTACTCTAGCCTCTCAGTCGGGAGGAGAGTGAAAACAAAGATTCTGACTGTTGTCTGACTGGATTGGAGGGTCACAGAAAATACCAGAGAGAGAAAAACACAGACAAATCTATTGAACAAGATGACACCTCCACACTGTGATGATGTTGATAACTGTTTGCTGATGTATATGCAGTGAATGCTCATCAAAAAGGAACATTTAAACCAGTATATAGAATGTGGTAGGAAGCCAAGGAGACAACGTTTCTGTTGAGGCTTCAGGAATGTAGAGGAATCACAAGGTGCTTGGGTGCTTGAGATTGAAACAATGTAACAATGTATTTCCCCTCACCAGGACTCAGGAGAATGGAACAGCTTGCTGGAAGCCGTTAGTTTATAATACAGTATCAGGGTAACCTTTACAGAGATAGATTAAAATATAACTAGCATCCTGAATACACCTATAGTGACGTAATAGCTCCCACTGCAACATTTCCTGGGTGTTGACTACCCCCTAACCCCGTAGTAAATGTATAAAGGCACGGACGGCCCTGCTGCACTTGGGGCTCAGCTTTGGATAGGAATCCGCTGAGCCAGTGCCGGCACGAATAAATGCTGCTTCTCACCAAAGGCCTCGGTATCCCGACTCCTTGTTCGTGGTTCCCAGGTTCCTGCAGCAAAAAGGTCAGTAGTGCAGATGGACAGTGACTGTGATGGGGTGTGGGAGGGACTTGATAATATGGGTGAGAGCAGTGACCACAATGTTGCTTGTGTGAAACCTTCTTAAGATTGTGTATCAATGATACCTTAATAATAATAATAGAAAAAAATGGTCAGTAGTGCTTTGAAGCAACCTTTAGAGAAAATTCTAGTTTTCCTGCTCTGTACTGAATGCAAGAGTTTCCACATATGTTTTCTCATTTAATCTCCTTTAATCTCTTTTAACCTGGTATTTTTAGATGAGAATACTAAAGCCTAAAGAAGTTAAGCAACCTGCCCAAGTGGCCCTGCTGGTAAAGGGCAGTATAAAAACGGGGACACAAACTTCCTGGCTCCCAGTCAAGAACTTTTCCCATGACATCACAGAACTGGAGAGGGCAGAAGAACAGAGGTCGGAGTTGAAAGTGATTACACTGGGGCGATTTGCTTGGCTGGGCTGGCCTGCCTCATCAGAGCAACAGTGTTAAGAGAGTGATATTTCTGTATTTTCGCAATAGGGCCACTTGCATTTGTCTGGGTTTTTTTTATAACAGCTTTTTTGTTACAATGCCATTTCATTAGCAGAGGTCAGTCTATAACTGAGCCACATTTCAAGTTCAAATCACATCAAAATGAAGCCTCCTGGATGGAAAAGTATGAAGTTATAGATGATTGAACTGGGCAGTCAGACTCCCAGAGGACAGTTCTAGAGCTGCCAGCCTCCCCTACGCTGGCCCTGGCCAACACCAATCAACCACGTCTGGCAGGCAGATCCTCTAAGTTGCAGGGTCCAGAGGAAATATGAGATCTAATTTAGTCCTAAACGTAACTTCTATGATTGTCTACTAAAATTAGCTGCTTCTATGATCTGCAGATGGGCCCAGAAGGCAGGCATCCTCTCACAAGGCCAGCCCAGTCTCAGAGGCTGGACAGGGGAGATGGGCAATCCAGCAAGCGGTCTTTCTTGGTCACACTTGGGCTTGAGCCAGGGCCCTGGGGAGACTCTTGGAGTTCCTCTAGCTCCACGCTGGTGTGGCCCCAAGCCCTTCTGCTGACCCTAGGGTGACCCTAATTGTCTTAAATTCCTGTTAAAAGACCAGAGCGTGCCTTCCTCAGAGCAGACCTCAGAATCGAGCAGACCCACTGGGCTGTTTAGTCTCAATCTGCCAGCCCCAGGGGGAACTGGCTGCAAATGGGTCCACAGGACCCAGATAAAGCCTCAGGGAGTCCGGTTTAAGATAGCGGGATGGTGGCTTCCCGGCTAGAAGGGGGTACCCTGCAGGAGGAAGGTGAAGAATGTAATTGCCTAGAGGCGAGGTGATTCAATTCCTTCTCCAGCTGGAGAGGAAGAGAGAAGAATGCTTAGAAAAACTGGTGGAACTGGTTTCTGCAGTATGGCAGGCGTGATTTGGGAGGAAGAAGGGGCAGGAGGGGCCTGGTGATTCCCAGGGGAAGGGAGCCAGCACCCCGCCTTAGAGCCTCAGCCCGGAGCAAGTGACAGAACACAAACTGGACCGCACACCCTAACACGGGCTGGCAACTTGCAGGAGGGCAGCGGGCTGGAAGGATTGGCGTCCGGCTCAATGAACCGCGGGACAGAGCAACCAGAGAGCATGGTAAGAGCTCCACCGTGGGCACCTCCTAATGCCCCTGGTCACAACTGGGCTGTCACCCTCTTCCTGGTCTGCTTATAGTCCCTAACCTGGTGCAGCTCTGGGAGGAAAGCAGTTACCCGCCCAGGGCAAATTCTCCCTGAATCCGCTAAGACTAAAAGGAAAGGGTAGGTTGGGAATTAAAGGTTTATTTCTCAGGGCCCAGCCTCTCTCCCCACCATGGTGCTCTACCCACCTGTCCCAAGGCCAAGCTACCACGCTCCGCTCTCCAGCCCCACCACCACGCTTCACCTTCCCCACCCACCACCCGGAGAAACCCTGTGGGCGGGTCCCTAGTGACTGGCAGGTGCCTGACCAATTAAATACCAGGAATGGAGGGGCGGAGATAATGCCTGCTGCCCGCAGCCCCTCACCCAAGATCAGCAATCTCCTGGGGGACCAGTGGCTCTGCGTGGTAAACATAACACTGACGTGCAAGCAGGCCCTTAAATGCATATTACTATCAAGGCCAGGCTGGAATTCTGATTGAGAACTTGCATGTACCCCACGCTTGAGAACAGCACCAACATATAGTTTGTCACTACGCCAGAAATCAGACTTTTCCCCTGATTCGCAAAGCTGACCAGTCCCTATGATCCGCTGATCTCTCCTCTACATCCCCACTGCCACTTCCTTACTCCAGACCTCACTGTCTTTTGCCTGGCCACAGTCCCAGCTTCTCAGCAGGTCCTCTTCTCCCCAGTTCTCCACACTATTGCTGGAGAAATCTTGCCAAAAACATAAAAATGACCATGTCCCTTACTGCTTAAAATTCTTCAGAAACCCCTCACTGCCTTCAGGGTGAAATTCAAATGGCTTTGGGATGGTGTTCAAGGCTTTGGACAATGTCACCCCTGCCTATCCCACCAGCCTCATTTCTGACCTCTGCTGCAGATGCTAAGTGCATGTCATGTCCTCGCTCAAGGCTGCATTTGCTCTCACCCCTGCCTGGTGTGTTTTACCTCCTCCACACCACTCTGCAAAGTCTAAAATGCCTGTGATCTTCCAGGACTCAGTTCACATACCCTGTCCCCTAGTCAGGGCTGGGAACGCTAGCCTCCTCATTTACCCTTGGTGGGTACTTGCGCCTTATACACAAGACCTGGGCCTTTGGCAGCTTTTGTGGATACAAGAATATTAGCACAGCTGCCCAGCTTTTCCCAAGTCATGTGTTTTCAGGGCAGATCCTCCTCCCTTCCAACCCCTCTACCAACTAAGTTCCACCTGATGACCATTTTTCATAAGGACAAAGCCTTTTCTGTGCTGTTGCCAGTGACAAGCCCAGTTGTGGCAGACACCAGGCTTTGGGCCAGGCCCCTCAGTAACTAAGTGAGCTTCCAGAATAGCAGTGAATTAGCCAGATTTACCCGTGATTGCTGGCAGCCTCAGGCCGCTGCAAACCACCCCAACCCCAGGAGAACATGTCCCAGAAACGGACTGCTTGGCCTACCAACTTTCTTCTTCCAAATCACCAGTCATCTGGTAAACCATCATAATCCACTCCTACTAGTGAGTAGGGGAACAGAGAAGCTAGATGGGCTCCTCCTTCATTTCTTGCCTGGGAAGTGGAGTGTGAAGTCCCTCCCTTCTGTGGAACCATGAGGAGTAGGAAATGAGTGTGTTCCCCACATTGCTTAGGGATTGAGGGCCTAGTGTTACCCCCCCCTTAATCTCTGTATCCCTGGGGCTCATTCCAGTGCCTAGCACATAGTAGCTGCTTAAGAAATGTTTGCTGAATAATATAATACATGAGCACACAGCTGCTTGGGCAGTAAAGTGGTTATGAGCATGGGGTTCTGATATCGGATTGCCTAGGTTCCAAGTCAGGCTCCATCACTTACTGTGTGACCAGGAGTGAACTGCTCCCTACGATTTGTTTCTTCATCTGCAAAATGAATAAAAGTACTATTTTTAGCATTGTGAGAATAAAATGATTTAATAAATATAAGCTGATTAGATAAGCACTTGGCATATAGTAAATGCTCAATTAGTATTGGCTTCTTGGAATGCTCACTGCAGATAGGATTCAAGTCATTCCCAAAGCCAGGCAGCCTAAGAACTTTTTGAAAGAAAAAGAAATATGGCAAAACATACATGTATACATATATGTGCATATACATAGGTATGTATATGTATACACACAAATGTCATCAGATTTTTAACACTGAGATTGTCCTTTCTGCTAATAAAATGCCTTTATTTCATGAAATGACCATGATAGTAAATGGTAATTGTTGCTTTTACTGTCTTGACAAAACAAAATAGATTGCTTCCCAAGTGCTTTTTTGAAATGTTCCTGGTCTTTGAAAGCAAAACCCCAGGAAACACTTATTTGCTGGCATGGAGATCTCTCGCGGAGTCCCTCGCACGATGCTGTAGAGTTGAGGACAGTGGTTCTCAACCTTGGCTGTACGTTAGCATCACAGGAGTTTTTAAAAAATTGATGCCTGGATCCAATCCCCACGAATTCTAGCGAAACAGGTTTGTATGTCAGGACTTTAAAAGTTGGCTGAGGAGAGACATATGCGTAAGCTAGGACAGAGGCCAGACAGTGGCCACTGACTTCCTTTTTTTAGTTCTCTAATCAGATACAGGCTCCTTTTTCTTTATTATTCCCAGAGTGGAAAATGAATGAAATAAAAACAAATAGGAGTGGGAAAAGGGCAGAGAACGGAAAGAAGGACCAAGACATTTGTTTTATAACTGATTAGCATTTTGAAACCATATCTTATCAACCACCTTTTCTGTTTATACCATGTAGATTGAAGAATCCCTTGGTTCCTAACTATGTGTGATAAAGTCTCATTCTCCTTCTCATTTCATTTGTGAATATCTTTTCATAAAAACAATAAAACAACGAGGAGAAAATCTCTCGAAATGTTGCTAAGGAGTCTTTGGTATTCCTCTTCATGCCATGATTCTGACATCATCCAAAAACATTTGGTCACCCAGAAATGTACTTCCTCTCGGCTTTTAAAATTCTTTATATATTAAGATACATTTCTAATTATATTTCAAATAAGAACCAGATGTTTTGAACACTTTACTTTGAAATCTCTTCCTTCTTTTGGGAAGATTAGGAGGGGGTGGCATTTTGACTCTTTCTATTTCCCAAAGATTTGACATTCTCACATATTTTTCCTGGGAGTTTATGAATTTCCCTCTAGCAGAAAATTGTTTACATACATTGGCCTGTCATAAGGCTCAACTGTGCAAATTAGACAAGTGAAGGGTTACTTTTGCAGAGTTCTCTGTAACATCCTTAGAATTAGAAAATCGCTTGCTAGTTGATTACCCCCTTCTCTTCGTCAAACTATGGCTTCCACCTTTGTTGTAAATGGAGTAAGCCTGCTTTATTTTAACACTCACTTTAACTCATGCTGCATCTTGCCTCAAGCATGCTTACTGCGCATGTACTAGGGAAGTGCAAAATAATACGGGAACAATTAGCCTTAACTTAGAATACAAATTTCTTTTCCTCCTGGGATCTCGCCAAATCTCGACTGGTTGGAGATCACATATTAGCCTAGATGAAGTTCCCGGATCTTGAACCTCACCAAACATGAGACAGTGTTGGCACCTTTTCAAGGGCGCAGTTGCTGGGGTCTGGGCACAAAGGGTATCCAGCTAAGTTAGGAAGAAGAGAAATAAAGGCTTCCTGTGTTTTTGACGGTCAAGCCCACTGCTATGTTTCTTACCCCAACCAAGGTTGCGGCCAAGGGGAGGTAACCAGGCAAAGGGATGGGAGACTGTGAGGCTGACTTCAGTGACCCTGTTACTCTATCCAGAGGAGGCGTCACAGGGAGGCGGGTCTGGAAAAGATCACCTGAAATGGTCTTTTTCCTTTCTTCATGGGCGTCTCCGGTGTTGAAAGGCCTCCTGCTGATCCTGGCTCTCCCTGCCCCACCCCCTGGGGGACAGATGAGAAAGGCGGCACTGCTGATTCTGCTTTGCTGAGACCCTCGGACGGTGTATGCGTTTCTCTTGAGTGTGATCCGACATCCTGGACCCCAAACACAAGGCTGCGAACTACTCTTGGTCTCAGCTGAAGCGCTGGTGATCCCTTCCAATGCCAGAGGAGGACACACCGTGTAAAAGGTTGTGTGCCACGTAAAAGGTTTTCTAGTACGGGTCTGACTGTAAATGAGTTTGGCCTTATATGCTCATTTGGGACCCCAATCGCCCTATAAGTGAGTGAAAGCCTCTTTCCCTTTTTAGATTTGATGAGCTGGCAGGAGGTAGGAGTCGGGGACGGACCAGAAAATATTAGCACTCTCTTTCTCTAGGGGGAAAACAACAGAAAAACAACAATAACCCTAAATATGTAAACATGGGTTATTTAAAACATAGAACACTGCACGGCAGGGCACTTTACCAGATGTGAGTGGGCGTGACGCTGATGAAAACAATCACAGCACGTCCCTGCTACCTCCCGGGAGGAGGTCTGCAACCTCTCTCTTTTTTTTGGCAGGCCCTGCCTCAAGTTTTTGTGTCCACATGCACCTGAGGATGCCGGCCCCGTGCGGCAGGCAACCCAGGGCTCGCCCCGGTCCTTCCGTCCTCACGGCGGCGCACGGGCGCCTGTGCGCTGGAGCCGGCACAGGGCTTGGGGGCGCCCCTGGGGGACCTAAGCTGCGGCTGGGCCGGAGCTGAAGCCCCGGCCCTTGGTTTGAGCCTTGCTCTCTTGGGCGCTGCCAACAGCCCGAGCCTCGTGGCGATACGGGCCCATTTCCTGAGCTCGGGCTGGACAGTATAAGCAGGGCAATTGAGCTGGTGGCCAACACCCTTTGGGATCTTGGGCCTGGCCTCCTCGGGCCTGCCACGGCCATGACAGTGTCAGCGCGCACACGCACGGCCTCGGCTGCATCTCCTCCAGGCCCTTCTTGGGCTTCTTGGCGGGGTGTGTGTTGCTCAGGAACTTGGGGGCCACCCCCTTAAGAGATTCCTATCTTTGTCATCGGGGCTTCCTGATGTTGTTTCTGTGCTATTTTGGGGGACTGGTTGTGCGTGGCATGGTTCTTGGACTTGGCCACGTGTATGCCCAAGTCCAAGTCTGAAGTGCCTGGGACCGGAAGAGAAAGGGGGGGCCACCGGAAGTCTTCAATCTTAAAGCGAACTTTGTTCCATGAACTTGTGAATTAGTGTGACCAGCTGCACTTAGGTCCTTTCAGCTACGCCTCCGTCATCAACCAATTACGACTCCTAAAGATGCTAATTTAAGAAACGTAAGGACTGTTTCAGGGCATTTACCCCCCCCTAAATAAGGGCTTTGCCAAACTATCTCTACCCTGGACAAACTCGTTTCCTTGGACTCTGTTTTCTTCTCTTCATTCAACTTTCTATTCCTTCTTTCCTTCAAGCAGGGCTCACTGAGCACCTGACATATGCCTTGCTTGGTCCTGCATGAACAGCTGTGTACCCTGAACTCAGAGCTCACAGCCTGGAGGGGAGACGGACCTTAAACCTGATCGCAGTACAGGATGCCGAGGGCGCCCAGGGAAGGGCTCAGTCGGCATAAGGTAGCTAACACGAGCCAATCAATTGTACTATTATTAAAGAGCCAGGGAGGTTTGTTTTCTTTTTTAATTCTTTTACCTATTCACAAATTGGAAAGGCTAAATTAATAAAATAATATAAATATTTGTAACGTAGTTCTGTGGGCTGCCAATAAGTTAATGCACTAAATAAGCTCCTCAGGAAATAGGTCTGCTCTTTTCTTCCCTGCTTTATTAAATAATTAATAGCCAGCTAGTGGAAAAGTATCTGACAGAACCCTTGAATCTTTACCCCTGTGCTGAGGCTGGAGTAACATTCTGCCACGAACGAATGTGGGGAGGCATTCGTGCCGAGTGTCCAGAGGAAGGCCACCCCTCCAGTCCGGCCACGTCTCAGGATGCTGCCCTGGCCCACCACCCAGCGGGGACTCCCCCTGGAAGGCAGGCGCTCCCACTGGGTCAGGACAGTGTCCTTTGTTTATCTCACACCACATACATCCACTCCATACAGGGGGCTGTGGCCGCATTCCCTTTCTGGCTTTGATGTTGTAGCATGTAAATATCTAAATGCTCATCTCCCAATGACCTAATTCCCATACGGATGCAGACTTTAAGGGGGGGACCTAAGGGGTGTTCTTCATTTTCTTCCTGCGAAGGAAGATGCATTTCCCAGTTGACTTTTAGTGAGCTGTGCCTCTTAGGCGGTGATCTTCACCCATGCTTCTCAGTCCTGCTCCCACCCCCCTTTAGGTGGGAGAGGGTGGCTGGAGGGGGCTAGAGTTAGGCTTGAATGACACCTCAGCGGGTGAGGCTCTGGCCTGCTCATTCCCCCTGAGGCGGGCCTTGTTAAGAAGAACAGGTGCTTTTAAAAATGGTTCTTTTCCCCCTGGATGGGGGTTTTCCTGGACATTCACTCTAAGGACTGCAGAGCTCCAGGTGCTAAAGCTTCCAAAGGTGTGGGGGCCCCCGATGATTGGGTGCCCTGGATATTTGTCTCTCAGACTTGTCCACAGGGAGCCTCCAGCTTGTCAATAACAGCTCAGGTTTTCCGTCCCCTGCACTTTCCGGAGCCAGTGTCCTCCGGGACGTTTTGCTCTGGGAAGCTGTGATTCTCTGTGCCTGTGTATCTCTACAGTTGGGGACAGAGGTTTTCCCTGCGTCCTCACTTACAGGTTTAAGGAGAGTTGTTGGTTTCAATTGTTCGGTTTCTTTACTTGTTAGGATGGAGTCTCAGCTTCTAAGCTCCTTACATGCTGGACCAGAAACCAAAAGTCTCCCAGGGATTTTTCTTCTGCCTATCCTTAAAGCAACTCTGAATAAATATGAGCATTTGAATGACTGAAACTTTGGTAGTTAACTTCAGATAGTTCTTCTGAATCATGAAGATCATTAAGACTTTCTAGAAAAAGTTAACTGTCTATTGAAAAGGAACTAAATCTTCCAGGGTTTTGACAGAGAGGAGAGCCCAGGTGAGGGGGGTGGGAAGGCTTACTTCCGGTTGAGCCTTACCCGTAACAGACTCATGGGATGAAGATGTCAGCACTCAGTGTGAGGACAGAAGCTAGGAATTTTTTCCCCTCCTACACCTCAAGGCCATCACATCCCAAAGTCAAGTACTCCTGGGGCAAAAGCAGCTTCAAGATTCCCTTAACTCTAAGTGTTCCTGTTTCCTACAGATTTCAACCTAGTAAATTCCTTACTATCCTATCTGAGAGAAGGTTTATTTTTTTTTATGTATTTCACCCAACATTTTTAGTTGTTTTCAGTGGGAGGGCTGTTCCATATAACTTACCCAAACTTGTCTGGAAAGGGAAAGATACTCTGTTGTCTTTTTTCTCTTTTTTCTTTTTTTAGTATATGGTTGATACACAATATAATACTGGTTTCAGGCTTACAACATAGTCAATTACAACATAGTCAATTGGCAATTACAGATGTTACTAAATGCTCACCAGGATAACTGTGGTTACAAAGATATTACAGTAGTATTGATTATATTTCATAACAGAATTTGTTATCCTGAAATGTTCTCCTACTCTTTCTTATTATTTGACAACTTCAATGAGATGTCAAACACCATTATATTTTGTCTTGGCTACTTGTAAATCCTCAAGGCTTCACTAGTGCCTGGCATATGATAGACATCTAATAAATGGATGTGAAAGATAAAATAATAATAGTAAAATACTAACAATGGAAGATCTTCAACATGGGATGCATACAGTGTCTTGGCTGAGCTTGTCACCAGTCTTCTCCGTCATCCTCCACGTGTGGGAGGTTTAACTCCCAGGAGCATGTGCTCTCAACTCGTCAATAGCTCCCTGTTGCTTTTCCTGTAGAGACCATATTCCTTAGCCTGGGATCCACATGAGATCTGGACGTAAACTAGTTGTCTATTCTTTTTGTGTCCTGTGTTCTCCCCAAACCATTTCCCAATCCTCTTCCTGAAGAAGGGAAGATACTGTTTTCTTTTTTTCTCTCTTTTTTTAATTGAAATATAGTTGATACACAGTATTATATTGGTTTCAGGTGTACAACATGATGATTTGACAATGGTAACATTGCTAAGTGCTTGCCATGACAAGTGTAGTTACCATCTGTCACCATACAAAGATATGACATTACAAAGTCATTTGGCATTTCCCAAACATGCAACACAACCCTGCTCACTAATCCCTCTTATGTGGCTGCTCTTCCCGCTGCCTCTAGCTTCTGCTCCAGACTTACTGCCCCACTCAAATTCCACTTGCTATGAGATTCCTTCTCTCCTTCCCTAGCAAGAACTAATGCTACTTTCTTTAAACTCCGAGCATGTTTGGGGCTTCCTTATGGCTTTTATCCCATATGCTTTGCATTAGAACTACTTATTTACATGGATAAATGCTTTCCCAAAGTCCTTCACGGTGCCTTGTAGACACTCAATAAATATAAATAGAAAAATGGATCATCAGAACAGGCTTAGATTGTGAACCTCAAACGATACCAAAACAAAGGAGACTTTATCCACTACAGCCAGAAATACCTTATCTTTTAGGCTCTTAGAATTTCTGAATTACAGTAAGTGGGGTCAGACAGTAGCCATGCCAATGGACATGTTATTTAAAATGATGATTCTCCAATTATTTGACACCTTTTACAGAATGGTTGGTGGACCTGATGTTTTTTCTTTTAAGTTACAAGGTCCATGGAGAATTTCATCAGAGGACTCACTTTGTTTAAAAAAAATAGAACTTAAAGTTAACGCTAACAACACCCACACCGAATTGACTCATATTTCCTATCAGCAGTTCCTGCAACCTTGTTGAATTTCTCATTTGTACTCTTACTCCACTGAATGCCACCAGCCCAAAACACAGAAAACCAAGAGAGCATTTCTCTTGTTTCCAGAGGCCAGGTTCTAAAGATGGAAAATTCCAAGTTATAAAAGTAAGCAGTTGAAATTCTGTGTCTTCGGCATAATGCGGTATTTTTTTCTCCAAAATGGGAGTTGGCAGCTGTTAAATGACCAGTTCTATTAATGCAACAAACAGACTGCCTTGCCATATTTGGTTGACTACTAAGACTCTTCTAAGATCTGCAGAAAAATATTTGTGGTCGATGTATTCCCTCCAGTACTCTTTTAAAGGACTCTAGAAGGAGCAAGACCAGGACTAGATATAGTCCTGCTAATAACTACTACGTGAATCGAGGAGATTGGATTGGTCTGTGGCTAATGTTTCGAACTTCCCTTTTGTGCAGGAGTCACAGCGCTGAGTAGTCACAGAAACTGCCTTGGTCATCGTATGTTTCAAGTTAACCTGACTAACCTGACAACTAAGAGGAAAAGAATCCTATGGAAGAGAGCTTTCTAGATCACAGACTGACAGCTTTAGGAGAAGAAAACAAAGAGGACGTGCAAAAGATATTTTTTGCAGTTAAATTTCAGGGAGAAAACTCTCCCAAGACAGGGATGTCAGAGGCCAAACTGGAGGCCAGAAATCTGAACACGAAACCAGCAGGTCCTCATTTGGAGGACTTAAGGGTTCGGTGATTGAGGGATACCAAATGATGCTTGAAAGAATTTCTGTCTGCTTAGAGGTTAAATCAGGTAATGTCTCATAGGATCTCAACTCTGACATCTTGTTAATAATGTTGGAGGCACATTGGTGTGGAATGTGTCATATCTAAACGAGGTTACATGCCACAGATCCATTCTTTACCGCATTCATGGCCAGAAATCCAAGCTTTCGGCTCGTCGCAGCTCATATTGCACTGCTTGCCCCAGTTGGACCCGTGCCGGAGCCCGACTTCTCCTGCCCCCTTCCATGGCCCCTCCAGGTGGACCCTCCACTCTGCGATGAGCAAACCCCTCCAGCTGTGCCCCGATTCCTCCCCAGTCCCCGGCTCACACTGCAGCCCAAGCACTCGGGGCTGTTTGTCTCTCCAACGCCTCTGGGGCCTCAGGAACAGGAACAAATGCTGTGTTTTCCTGGGTCACCGTGCCCACATGCACACCATGTCTCTCCCTGCTTGCTGCACAAACCCTCTCTTTTTGAGACTGACACTGCTCACATGCCACCTCCTCCTCCTCCTGAGAGCCATCTAGACAGACTCCCAGAACCCCACAGCACAGGCACACCCCTCATACTGAAGGCTGTAGCCCCCTGCCTGTCTTCCTTTCCACCCCAGCTCTGACAGCACCTGTTCATGGAGACCACACACCCACCCCACAGGCCTCTCAGACTGTCTCCACCACAGTCCTAAGAGCTGTCACCTATACACAGGTCACAGCCAGGATGAGGCCACCATGTTCCCCCAGCCTCTACTCCCAACGTGCCTCGCACCCACTGCACCTCCCTATCCTTCCCCTGCTTCAGCTCAAATCCCTCCACCACACCATCGTTCAACTCTGTCAACACCATAGTCACAGACCACCGACTCTCCGCTGATGGCCTTGTCTCCTAGTCCGGTGAGAAAACAAGAGCCTTGCACCGGG